GTATAGGATTTTTTTTTTTTTTTGGTAGAGAGTGAAGAAAATCTCCCTGTGACCAAATAATCACATCTGCTGCAATGGCATTGAGACTAGTGAATTCGAAGTTGCGGAGTCAAATTTTGCCCATGCTATCCTCTACTTCTCTATTGCATTCACATGCTACAAGCTTTGGTATCTTTCTCTCTTTTTTCTCTCATACACACACAAAGGCATATTATTGAAATATAAATGTTAGTTTATATATTTATTTGTTTATCAATTTAACCTAATAAGTTAAAAATTTATAGATATGCTGTTTTTAGTCCTATGTTTTTACATTCTACTGTGGCAATGTGGAAATCTTAATTACTACGGGAAACTGTTACTACAAAGGTTAAAGGATAAGGAATAAATTACATGCATGAGTAAGGTTTGCTAAGACTTAAGACACATTAAGAGGGCTTTTGCAAGTATTTTTGCATATTAAGTTGTTAGCTATTATTCTCCTTATGGACACTGTTGATTTTATTATATTATCTTTATATTTATTTTGTTAGTTGTTGGGTATATCACATAGTTTTGCATTACAAGCCTCAGTTATATTGACTATTTAGGGTCTTAGTACTTGAATAGTTTGTAAATATTATTTTAATCTGCAATAAGTTCCAAACATTAGCTATCTATGCAGTAGGCAGAATACCTTGCTTTGTAGTCCTGTTTTTTTTTTTAATTCTCAGTACATCTTGTTTTGTAATCGTTCATTTATATGGAATGTTAGCTTATTAAAGTTGCATGCTTAGGGTTTAAAGAAGTATCTGAAGAAGAGAAAAGCCGATTAGTTGGTAATGTCTTCAGCAATGTTGCTTCAAACTATGATCTCATGAATGACTTGATGAGTGGTGGATTACATAGACTGTGGAAGGATAGGTTAGGCTCTTCCTGGTGCTTTATAATGGCGATCTTGATCTATGTTTTTAGTTCCTCTGACTTTCACACTTCCACTTCTTCTGTGCAAATTTTCAGACTTGTCTCCAAGTTGAACCCATTTCCAGGAATGAAGCATCTTGATGTGGCTGGCGGAACTGGTAATTTTGCTTTTTGAAATAATCAGATCCTAATCTAGCATGAACCACGTATTTTGAGTTTTGTTCAATGACACATGATATGCAGGAGATGTTGCTTTCAGGATTCTAGAAACTATAAACAGCATGAAACGTAGAGCAATACAGGACTCACTCAATGATAGCCTACATGAAGAAACACGGATTTTTATATGTGATATCAATCCAAACATGTTAAGTGTTGGCAAAAAGCGGGCACTAGAGAGGGGTACAGTATAAGAACCAGCTTATTGCTTGACTAATTATATTGGCTCTCCACAATTATATTATATTAATCTTCTTTTCATTTTGGAACGTTGAAATATTTATTCTCATTTCTTTAATTCTTTTCTGTTCTCCTGCCTTGTAGGTCTTGGAGAAGACAAATCTCTTACATGGGTGGAGGGAGATGCAGAAGCCTTGAGTTTTGAGGATAATTCAATGGATGGTTACACAATTGCATTTGGAATTAGGAATGTCACACACATAGAGAAAGTTCTTGCTGAAGCTTATAGGTAATGTTTCATCTATACATCTCCTTTTGACGAGTCAGGATCATGATGTTTATTCCATAATGAGCTCTACTTTAGTTATGATATGTGCTAAGTCTTTTAAGATGCAAAACTCAGGAACACAGCACCATGATGTGGCAATTACAGAAATTTGCTTTTGTTTAAATCATAAATGGAGGTTTAAAACTGAATAAATGATTCAAAATGTCAATGTCTTCCATTGCCTTTTGAGTGTCTCATCTTTTTTTTCCCCTTTTTGTGGACTTCAGAAAGAAAAACTATAAGACAGTTCACTGAGAAGAAATTGATGAGTGGGGTGAGAACTGTAGACTTCTAGATATAGATGGTGACCTGAATATTAGGATCAAATTTTCTAAAAGTGTCTAATGTGTGTCTTCATGTCTTTTGTTTTTGTTCAGAACTGGGGAAATGTATGAAGTATGAAGCTAAAATAGTATTGTAAGCATTTGGTGGGAAACATGAGAGTTAGTGAACAATCATACATGTATAAGAACTTGCTGCAAATTTTGTGGAAAGTTTTTTTAAGGCCTAGGTTTGAACAATAAACTAAAATTTTATTTTTCACTTTTATTGGGTGATAGATTGCATATCTGTCATTCATGATTATATCCTGGCATGCCTGTTAGTGTACAACAAATAGATATTGTATTGTACTCCATTTGCAGCTCCTTTTCTATTCTCCTTTAATTCTTTCTTTTTCTTAAGAAATCCTGTTGCCTTTTAACTTTAGAAGGCTAACTCCTTTTTCTCATTTTAAGGGTATTGAAGCCAGGAGGAAGATTCCTTTGTCTTGAACTGAGCCATGTAGAAGTTCCTTTATTTAAAGATCTGTGAGTTTCTTTGACACTTCTAACAGAAGCAAAACAATTTCACTAAAGACACTTAAAAATTATTTTACAGTTCTCCTTGCTATTGTTATCTTAGTTTTATTCCTTTTCCCTTGGTTGTCATACCATCAGGTTTATGCCATTTTGTGTCATAAGCAACATATCCTTGTTCCCATTTGGTCAGTACTTTATTTCTTTGTCCAACTTCAACAATTTGGTGGCTCATTTATAAAGGCCAATGATCATCTTAGCATACAATGATTTTGACTAAAAATGATGACTTGGAATCACAGAAAGAACTTTGTTTGTGAATTTTTTATCTGGCCACCAGGTAGAAATTTTGATATCGTTTTTTTATTTTCTTTATATTATGTATATATAAGCTATTATTATTATTCAGTACTCAGATCAAAGCTTATGTGTTTTCATGAGCTGTTCTTAATGTAATCAATTTCTCTCTCAACTTGATTCAATTTACTGTATGTTTTCCTTTCTGTCTTTTTTTTTCTGTAACATGAAGTTTATTGTGCCCATATTTGAGGTTTGTTTTCTTTCAACGTGTGCAGGTATGATTTGTATTCTTTCTCAGTTATTCCAGCTTTAGGAGAGCTGGTTGCTGGTGATCGAGCATCCTATCAATACTTGGTTGAGAGCATCCGTCGTTTTCCACCACAGGTCTAGTTTGATCTCCATACTTCATAATAAGTTCTCTTACGGTAAAGTTGAATGATCTTGCCACCTGGATAACTGGGGGTTCTCTGGTCTGGTGACACTGCTTAAATGCATAGGTTCCATTATTGTAGTATATTTGTAGGTTGCATGAATTAAAGTCTCCTAGTTCTATAGACACTGAGGAAACATGAATAAGAAGTATTTGCATCACAAATATGATGATTAAAGTACGGATTCCTCTTAAAAGATTGAGGTATATATTTTTGGAACATGGGTTAAGTAGGTTGGGTTGAGGAGTTAAAATAAAGTTTTTGATTCAAATCAGAAAAACTGGCATGAGTGGGTAATTTTTTACCTAGTCATATTATTACGTGCCTTTTGTAGTTCTCAGTTATTTATTTCTTAATTCTAAAAGAAACTCAGGTAATTTTATGCATTCTCTTTTCAAAATTCTAGGGTATATATTTGCAAAATAATTTTTGCAAAATATGGATGCAGGAGAAATTTGCTTCAATGATTGCAGTTGCAGGGTTTCAGAAGGTTGAGTATGAAAATCTTGTTGGCGGCGTGGTTGCCATTCATTCTGGGTTAAAATTTTGAAGGCCTACTCGACAAATCTTTTTATTCAGAATTCCTCAGTACCGGCATAAATGCATTCTTAATTTCTTAGTGATTGATAGATTGTTTGTTATGCAAAATTTTGGGTTTTGCAGCGCACTGTTGCCCTTTAACATCTTATCATAGAAGAATGCTGGGTAACAGTAAACTCAGGATTTAACATCTCAAACATGTATGG